AGGTTTTATGTATATTTGCCTTGTCGCAAAGTGAGAGCAGAATTAATTTAATGAAAAACATGAAATTTGAAGAAATAAGCGTTTGGCATTAGCAGCAAATGTTGTCGCCAGTCTGTCTCGGACAGAGAATGTTTACGCGCATCGCATACGCATTAGGTAAGCGGCACTGAATCGTCTGGGAAAAACTGTTTCTTTTCTTTTACACATCATTTTGGATTTATTATAGTATTTGACAGAACATGTGGCAATGATTAAATAGTTCTTTGATGATATAATTTTTTTTTGCATTCTGAGTTATAAAATGAATGAGATGTAACGCTGTTAAATGCACCTAGCGCCAGAGTGTCTCTATGGTAAATATAGTGAATTTTAAAGAGTGCATTTATTCTATTGTGGTTTGTACAAAGTAGATTTAATTCAATTCAACAAGTTTAAATGAAATGCAGGAAAAATGTGTACAATTTAATAATCCATACAAGGAAGTCATGTGGTGTACACATCAGATTTTTTCCTGTAAAATTTGATACCCTTTAGATCATAAATGCTTCATTATTTCATAATTTCTACATGCCATACCTTATTAGATTTAAACTGATAATCTAATATCCGGAAAAATCCCAAATCCAGCATCGCCGAAGTCCCAACGAGTCCAGATCTCAGACTTTGTACTGTATTATACTTTAAATTGTACTACTTTGTCATTTTAAGTATTAACCCTATATTGTATGGTGTTGCTCTTGTCACACAAAACATGGATTACTTATTTCAGGGTTGCCACTCAAACAGAAGAATGAAATTCCCTGACTTTTCCAGGTGTGTTTCAAGAAAATTTCAGCCTATCCGCGTAATGTACGTTGGCTGTGCTAAGAGGTACTGTGGGTAAAAAAGTATTTGCACACCTACATTTTTGTTTGCAGTTCATAAAAAGAAGCATTAAGAAATAAAAAAATAGGTATTGCCAAATCAGAATAAGTTTAATCATCCAAAACAAACAGAAAAGTTACAATAATATAAATAACAATGCTTTTTTGTAACAAAATTAAAATATCTCGTATCAAAAAAAGTATTTGCACACCTGCATGAATATAAAAGAAATAAAATATATAAGCAAATTTCAAATAACTAATATTTAGTATGCATGCCTTTAGCATCTATTACTGCTTGTAATCTTGCTGGCATTGATTTAATTAAATTTTCTGTAACAGTAGGGTCAGTATTCGACCACTCTTCAAAAAGGGCTTGTTTAAGGGCAGATTTGCTTGAAATCTTCCTTTTTACTTATTTTTAAATCCAAAGAATTCCACAAATTTTCCAAAGGATTTAAGTCTGGTGATTGTGGGTGGAGCAGGCAAGTTTTCTGGGTTACATTATAAAGCAACCACATACGTGTTATACCGGCAGGTGTGTGTGCTTGGGATCATTGTCTTGCTGAAAATAGTACGAATTACTGATACCCAATTTTATTGCACTTTGTGGCAAATTATCTCGCAACACATCTACATAGGTTCGAGCTGTCATATTCCCATCAATGAAACATAAATTACCAACTCCTTTGCTAGCCACGCACCCCCAAATCATAACAGAACCTCCTCTATGTTTAACTGTAGGTAACACATTTTTGGTATGAAAAGCAGTACAAGGTTTTCTCCAAACTAATTTCCTGCCATCTGATTTTAAAATATTGAACTTACTCTCATTGGAGAATATGACATTTTTCCAGAAATCAATTGGCTTATTGACATATTCCTTAGCGAATTCAAGTCTCTTCAGTCTATTTCGTTCAGTTATGAGAGGTTTTTTCCTTGGTGATCTTCCATAAATGTGTGCATCATGCAGGACATTTCAAACACTTTGGGCACAGATTTGAACTGTTGAAGCGACATCATTGGCTAAAGTAATTGCACTACCAAATGGATTTTTTGATGCTTCTCTTATGATTTTTCGCTTCACTCGCAGTGAAAGTTTCTTTGGGCATCCAGAGCGCAAGTTATTTGATGTAGATCCTCTTTCCTTTATAACATTTTATTAACATACCAAACAGTAGAGAAGCAAACATTTACTTTTTTTACCTATTTCTCGATAACTTAGGCCATTTTCATGTAGAGAAAGCAATTTTTTTCTCTCAACGAAATCGGCAATTCAGATTTCTTAGATGACCATTACAATTTGAAATCGACAATCAACTGATAACGTTTCGACAACCCTCCTTTTATAGTCGTCTTACGTATGTTATTTACTGCAGGATGACTGTCAAATAATAGCATAAAAATGCAAATTTGCTAAAGTTGAGTTGAGTGTGCAAATACTTTTTTTGACATAAGCTATTTTAATATTGTTGCAAAAAATGTTTTTTTTATTAATATTATTGTATTTTTTGTAATTAATTTAAATGAATACGCTTATTCTATTTTTAAATGCCAATTTTTGTATTTCTTAATGCATTTTCTTATAAATCGTGAACAAAAATGTATGTGTGCAAATACTTTTTGTACCCACTGTAAATTAATTATGGTATTACTTGTATTGTGTAGCAAATTCACTTAATTATTCAATAAATCCCAGAGGACATTTATTCTTAATTATTCTTGGTATACTTTGTTTGATAATTTTGTTTACTTTTCCAGTTAAGAAACTTAATAAAATTTAAGATATATACATTGGATAACAAATGTATGTTTTATTTAATTATTACTCATGATCATCACCAGTTCAACATGAGGCTAATCCGGTCCTTATAAACCACAACGCAATGCTAAATAGTTAGGTTAGATTTAGGTAAATTTAATTTGTGTGAGGTATGTTCTTAAAAGGCACCTTAACACTTGAAAACACAAATATAATTATAATAGTTGTTGTTTTCTCCACTGAAGATTGAGATTAGAATCTTCCAAATCTGGAATAAAATAAGGCTTTTTTTGCAGATATTCTGCAGCTAAATGAAAGAAAGAAATCTATTTTAATAAATTGAGGTATTTTATATTTATTTTGTAGCATACATAAGGAAAAAATATGTGCATTAAATTTCGTTATGGTATGTCATCATACTGCTAGAATTAATTTCAGGATTACGCCAGAGAAAATTTCCTGAAATTTGGAAATATTATTTACTATTTTTTTTTTTTACTGCAAAACGGCAAGGTATTTATTAAAAAGAAAGAAAAAAAAAAAAAGGTTTAAAAAAATTTTGTGGTAAAATTCTAGTATACGGTAAGGCCTGGGCACGATTTTTAAAATTGTCGTCAAGACCAAAATGACCCGTTTACAGAGCATCATCATGTCGCCCAATCCCATTGTACCATACATGGAGATTATTCTAACCAAAGAACGTCTATGCAAAAAAGAAAAGGTTCCATACAAGTAAAATGATATTATGCCACTAGAATGCGGAGGGAAAATTTGCCAAGGGATTTGGCGACGGAACCTGGCAGCCAGAATTTCCTTCTCCTCGATGTGTACAGGAAATTGAAAGACACGTGTTAAAAAGAAATGTTCTTTGACAAAAAAGAAAACTACGAAAATCCGTTTTTAAATTATTGCGAAAGATCCAAGAAGAAACGTTTTATCAAAAGATGTTTCTTCTTGGATTTTTCGATATAATTTTAAAAACGGATTTTCGTAGTTTTTTTTTTCCCCCTGAAAATAACTAATCCATGAATTAATTTACTTGGCCAAAAAATATTTTCTTTTCCTTTAGAGTTTAACCACTTGCGCTAAGACTAAACTTCACGGTTTGCGGTGCCGTGCACTACAATATAACAAGCGGTAAAGTGTCTCATTTATGCCGCCCCGCATCTGTGAGTGCAATCCAGAGCTGTAACTCGAGAAATAAACAATCTCGTTGTTAGGCAACGTGTGCACCACGTTATTTTCATTTTTGCGATAAATGCTTATCGACGTGGTGTTCACGTCGCTCGCAAGTTTGAGACAAAAGCATCTCGACGTGCGTGGCACGTCTTTTTAGCGCAAGTGGTTAAAGAAATTTTAAACGATATTCATTTTATGAACTCTTGATAACGTGACCTTCGAACTTCGACACTGGTTTCGAGCTTTAGCGACAGATATATCACGCATGCACAGCTGTTTCCCTCTATGATGGAACGGAGCCACGTCTGTTGCAGAGAGGTTTTGCTTCTTTACAATACATATTCTTTGATTCTAACCTCCATGGTACTGTACACTAGGATTAAACCCATTTTGTTTTATACGAGAACAGGTACTTTCTTTAGTTCATGCACTGCACATGCGATTCTCGAGAATGCTGGAAACCAAAAGTTGGGGGAAACTTTCTTTGCCTTTCTGGAGGTGCGAAAATTGACTCTATGCCAGCTGCCCGAATGACACTCACGTGATACACAATTCGCCAAAAAAGTTATCTCTTCCGACGTCGGCGCAAAAAATCGCTTTTTTTGGCGGGATCGTTGTATGAAATTCCCTGACTTTTCCAGATTTTGACAAAAATACTTAAATTCCCTGAATTTTTTGGTCAATTTTTGAATTCCCTGACTTTTTCCGGTTCTCCCGGTTTTCCAGGTAGCATGGCAAACCTGTTATTTACAGTTACCTGTCTTGTTTCCAGTTAGAAATGTGATGGATCTCTAGTGAAGTTCATGTATGTTTTCAGCATGTAGTTTTTAGTTACATCCTTTTTTTAAAACTTATTTGCCAGATGCTTTATTTATATAGAAATGTAGCCAAGTATTACCAAATTATGTATATTTGTAGTAAATTTCAAAGTTGGAGTGATTTTTACCCTTTTAAAAATTATTTTAGTTTTATACAGTATGTAATAGAAATAGAAAAATAAGAATTTAATCCATGACTAACTAGTCATTCACAAGGCAGTGTATATTTTTTTGTTGTTAAAACAAAAACTTGTGCTTTGTAGGATTAAGATGACCCTTTAAGATACTTGCAAAAGAGTCAAGATGATTTAATGCCATTTTGATTCTTCTTCAGTGCTTACCTGTAGATGTCATAATGTATAAATGATAGAAATATACTTTATGATTAAAAAATTATATTATAATTTGCATAGTAAAATATACATAACACTGTCATATTTTTATTCATGGCTTTTATGCTCTTTTTTTCCTGAAGTAGTGTCAAACACATCATCATAAGGATCTACTTTATATGATTCCTTTGGTCTGCGCATCGCCAGTAGTTTCTTGGCATCATATTTATGTTTATATCGGTTTGATGCTTCAAGCTTCAGGTTCCTACGATGCTATAAACAGAAATAAAAATTATTTCTAGGTGCACAAGTATACAGTGAAACCTCCCATAAAAACCATCTACAGTTCCAGAAAATTTCAGTTTTCTAAACCTCGCTACAGTTTGTATCTAGCAGTAAAATTGATGAGCACTAGTGCTTTGGGTTCTGACCAATAAGATGACTGCATGGGAATTTTTTTTAGGGGGAGTGTCTCCATGTATATAACATGAAGAACCAGCCAGTCTGAAATACTAGTCTTGCATAAAAACATTCTTCCCCCTTAAACAAATAGCCCTTGTGTGCTTTGTGATAATTCAAAAATCTTACTGTAGTGTATCTGCCTTGGAAAATAAAGGCTTTTGATGGTTTTGAATGTTATCACTTAATTATATTCTAAAAAATACTGTCACTCTAAGGTAGTTGCCATGAGAGGTTTCACAACATATCACATTTTGAAATTTGAATACAATAAAAGATTCAAAAATAGCAAAATTAGCAGGAACCATTTAAAAATGTTCAGTAAACAGATATCTCAATATCAACTTTTGGACTCAGAAATTAAATTACCGAATAATTCTGATTTACACAAAAACTTGCATTTTCAGCTCATTAATCATTAATGTTGCTATAGTTTGGATTTTGAATTTTCCATAAAACTGTGAATTTTTTCTATAGGAATATCTGATATTACATTGAATCCATTATTTTATAAGACATAATTTCATTATTTAATAATTTTGTTAGCTGCATAAAACATGGAGAATTTAACCTTTGTGGATAACAAGTGATATCAAATTTATCATTTTTTCTTTTTTTTTTATTCTGATTGCCCTGATCTTTTCCATTAAAAACAATCTCACAAGGGTAAATCATAAATATGAAATTTTTTTTAGCTTTGATGATTTGCAATGGGTCAGATACGGCAAATCTGCATAAGGTAAGTGGTTGAAAATCTGAAATGTAAAATCAAGAACTGTATCAGAAAGCTCAAAGGATCATGTACAACTATATTAGGAAGGGGGGAAAAAAGGATTCAGCTCAAAGCACACTTGGAAAAGAAACACTTTTCTTGTAAACATTATTACAGATTTGGAATTTATTTAGCTATTTTTAGTAGAATTTGTAAATAAAATCGTTTTATCACCGGAAAAATTTTGCTATTGAAAAAATACCAGAATATTCTCGTGCACGATTAAAAAGCTTTTTTTTTTTTTTAAACTGAGTTCTATTAAACGTTTTAGTAGTTTAAAATATAACTACTGTGAGATATTGCGAAATTGTACGAATATCTCTGAGGAAATTTCAGCATTTTATTTTAATTGTTGTGATAAGAATAAATTTTATTCACTTTTCATCAGACTTGTGCATTCAATTTATTACGAACACGTATGGACGCAATATATTTACCAATTACTTCATTATAGCTACTAATTTATTCATTAATTATTATAATTTCCAACTATAAAGAGAGAATCTTTATATACATACAAAAGAGATAGAGAGAGAGAAGATGTAATACACAAAATTGGTTAAAGGATTTTTGCCTTAAAAGTTCTAACCTTTCAACTTATGCCAAGTTGGCATAACAACCTACCAATTGCAAAAAAACTAATACTGGTTGATGGTTTCATTTCTTTGAATCAGCTACACAATTATGTATGTGCAACTTTCCTTTCCTTGTTAAATAGATGTGAATGAATGAACTTAATAATTACTGAATTAATTTTCTATCTTAAATCACAAAACCTTTGTCTGAAAGAAGCCTTAAACTTTGAAATGCCAGCTGTGCCATACCAGAAACAACTGCTGTAAACACAATTTTATCCTTTTTTCTTCATCTTCTTTTGTGGAATTTCATAAAGATGTAAGGATTACGTTGGTGCAGAAAAGCTAATTAGATTACAAAGTCAAATGTTAATTATATTAACTTTTATAATATCAGCATTTAAAAAAACTTTTTTATCTATTTATTGTTCTCATTTCAAGTGAAACATTTAGATACTATAGAAATAGCTGATATTTCATAAATTTTGATTTTATACAGTAAAGCTTTATTATCAGTGATTTTGTGAGATGTGCAGATAAAAGGTTTTTCCGTTCATCTTTTTTTCATCTCGATAAACATGCTGTTTTTTCAGTAATAGCACTGCCACAACAGTATGTCATAGAGATAGAGCATGGTTTTAAAAATAAAATTATCTATTGTAAAAAAGTCACAGCATGATATTTGTTTCCATAGCATATTCTTTTGTTTTGTACAGTCAAAAGTCGTTAATCCGGACTCGTGGGGACTTCGGTGATTCCGGATTATAGATCATCATTTTAAATCTGGTAAGATGGCATGCAGAAATTACAAAATTAAAAATATGAAACCGTAATTTATGAAATAAAGAACAATTATGATCTAAAGGGTATCAAAATTTACAAGCTTAATATTTATTTGTTTACTTTATTAAACATTTCTTTCAATGTAAGTTGTTTAAGTTCTTCGTTTCATGTGATAATACTTTCTCTTTAATTCTATTAAACAGACATAATTTCTTGTTTAGTTACAAAGTTCCGCTGTTCAAGTCCTATAATTGCTGTGTCGAGAATACCGACTAATTTGTCAATCGAAATTTTTTCGTTTTCAATAACCTCTGTCACTTTCTTCACTATCGGAAGCAAATTATAATGACGAGGAACTTATTTTAAATTATATCAAAGACGGAGTACATCGAGATAAAATACTACATTTAGTAAGGAATTATATAAGCCAAATAAAATAAAAACACCTATCCTGAAGATAAGGATAGTGCTGACAGATCAACTTCCAATTCATTGCACGCTGCAGCATCCCCCCCCCCCGCCGAGCAGCGTGAAGTTGATAAAAAGATTTCGGATTTCAAAACATACTTTCGCTTTAGATCCTTTACATATTAACAAATATATATCGGAAATTCTATTTGATATAATCGAAAGTTCAAGCTTACTTTTATAAAATTGCTCTAACAGTCTGCAAAAAATAATAAGCCGGATCCAATTCGGAGATTAAGGAACAACGCAATCTGCAACATTAACTGAATTAGATAATTTTAGCTTAGCTTATACCGTCCGTTATACATTAAACGAGCATGCGTAAACATTTTATGCACACGCGCACACACATATTCGCAGCCGTAAAGGTCATACGCGCACATGTAAACGAATATGCGCATGCGCAGAAAGTTTGTAGCTTTGAGGTCCGGATTATAGATCATTCCAGATTATGGGAGCCCGAATTAACGACTTTTGACTGTATTATGATTATATTTGAAAACAAAAGTACTGCTTGTTATAACAAAAGTTATATAAGAACTATAGACATGGGATCTAAAATCTCCACCTTCCCAAATAAAGATTGTTTATTGTATGGTTTATCAAACTAATAAACATAGATTTTTGAAGTAGGTTTATAAAATAGCAGTTCTTGAAAAGAAAGAACATTTATGCAGTTTTGTTATCTACAATGCATTTTTCTCACCTCCTCCATTAGAAAAACAAAGGGAATTTTTCCTTTCATATGTTTACTCCAATACAGAAATACAAGGGAAAAAAATTAAATTATCTTTTCATGAGAATAACACAATTTATGTATAAAAATATAATGATCATTATGTACAGCATCCATATTTTATTACAATGCTCAGAAGTTAGATTGTTGTCTACCTAATACTACAAAACCGCAAATTTTGCAGCTCATTTGCGGTTTTGCAGCTGAAGATGGTGGTTCGGTAAAACCATCGAAACTAGTCCTGTGAAAATTTTGTAAATATAACGCTGAATTTTGTTGTTTGACTTCTGAATTAGTACACTTTCATTACTCAAATATCAGTTTTTTTTAACAATTTCTAACAAAATGATTTTGCATTCCTTGCATTATTCAATAGCTCAATTTTTCTTTTCTTTCTTAAAATAAATAAATAAATTAAAAAAAAGTAACAGTATAGTTTTTTTAATGATTTACAATAAAGTAATTCAGCAATATTTGCATAAAAAAGTAAACACTTTCAGTTTCTTGTATTTTTCATAAAATTTACCAACATTAAGAATTTAGTCAAAAAATCTAATGATTACATTACTTACCATGCTAGGTGTGATGTAATGAGGATTTGTATATAGAACAGAGCCACAAAAACTTCCATCAAAAACTTTAATCAGATTCATAACAAACCTTGGACCTAAATATAAAAAGAATGAAATTTACAAAAAAACAAAAATTGCATATTTTTCTGACTAACTTAAAATGCCAATTTTCAATCACCTATTAAGAAAGGAATTTTTAATCATGTGTTTAATAAAAAAATTTTTAAAAAATAATTTTGTAGAACTTTTGGCATCAAAAGACTTCACTTTTTAATATTTAATTTTTATTTTTTCCTTTCTTTTCATTCCGTTTATTAAACTATTTCATTACACATATTACAAGTTGAGAAAAATTAAACAACTGAACCAAAAAAGTGAATTTAAAAATCATTTCTATTGGTAAATTATTAAAAGCTTGAAATTTCTTAATAGAGAAGTACAGAAAATAAAATAATTATAACGTCATATATAAATTGTAAAAAAGGAAAAGAATTAAAAATCCCAATAAAATATCTCAATTTTTCTTTTCTTTTTTTTTTGGGAGGGGATAGCAAAAAAACAGACCAAATTCTGGAAAGAAGTTAACATATAGAATGTATAATCAAATTTTGAAAAAGTGCTTTTACTGATTTTTAGCAAGATTTATAAACAGAAAGTGCAACATATTGCATACTATGCTAAAAATATTTTTATTATATGTACTTTGTAAGACGCAAACCTCCTCCAAATTTTAAATTGTCATAATGAATTGCTAATGCAACATACTAAAATATCTGCTTATATGAGACAATATAATCTTCAATCGAATTTTGACTTTCATTTTAGAAAGACAGTAGCATCATTATGAGATAGAAAGCCAGTCTTCCTAAAACCCAAGCTAAAATTAATAAGCAGCCCACTCATTATTTATTTATACTCGGCTTATTTATTTGATGATCTTTCTTTTATACTAGTCCAAAATCAGTTTTATTTATATTCAGTAGCAAAGATTATACAATGCCTTTCATGGATTTAAGACCGTGGATCACCAACAAAAGGTTAAATTTGCAAATGCATAGTACATAAGTTTTCCAGTGCATAATTGCCATAGAAAACCGCAGAAATTTCCCAGTATGAATTGATTATTGATGTCTCCATTCTACCCAAAAACAGTTTCCGCCAAAACTTAAGTGATTTCCTCAAAAAGCAATAACTGGAGGCATATTGATTAGCCCAAGCAACACCAACCCATCAACTTTGTGTATCCGACAACTACACTTTCTCATCATAACAATTATTTTTCTCCATGTTGCTAACCATAAAAAAAGGTTTAAAAAATGGTTTAATCTTTACAGTACAGACACTGAACACATTTTTAACTACAGATAGCAATTGCCAACGCCAATGATACTGCAGCATCTTAAATGTAATCATGCTAAAAACAACTGGCTCTGCAGCAGAGCCTATGGAGCTGTGGAACAAATCCCAGATGGCCTCATAGTGGAGCCAAAGGAGCACTAAGGGTTTGAAAAATAATATACGAGGCGTATTCGGAAACTAAGTACCGTTTTGAAAAAAAAACAGTAAAACAATTTTTTCGAATCCAATTTTATTTTTACATGAAAATACATGTCTTAAACTATTTTTCAACATAGTTTCCGCCAATGATCAAACACTTGTCATAGCGGGTGACCAGTTTTTGTATACCATCGTCAAAGAAACTTCCCGCCAGTTTCGATAACCACGACTCCACACTTTTCGGTGAATGAGTGTGTCTCCACTCCATCGATTGTTGTTTCGATTCTGGTGTGAAATGACACACCCCAGTTTCATCACCTGTCACAATTTAGTTTAAAAAGTTTTCTCCCTCATCACTGTACCGCGTGAGAAATGTCAGGGCACTACCAAGTCGCTTTGTTTTGTGAACATCAGTGAGCATTTTTGGAACCCATCGGAAACACAGTTTGCGATAATTCGAGCGGTCAGACACAATTTCGAACAAAAACAGTACGTGAAATTTGTGAAATGCCTCTGAAAGAGTTGTCATTGTGAAGCGTCTGTTCTCATGAATTGCTTCATCAACTTTCCTTACCAAATCATCGGTGACAACAGAAGGCCGACCACTCCGAGCCTCGGCGTGGACATTTGTTCGACCTGCATTAAACATTCTTACCCACTTTCTCACCATTCCATCACTTATCGCGTATTCACCGTAAACCTGTGTCACTTGACGATAAATTTCGGCCGGTTTAACATTCCTCGCGTTCAAAAATTTAATCACGGCACGAATCTCACAGTCAGCGGGAGAACTAATTGTCTTAAACATTTTGAATGTGCACAGCAAACTGAAAACACAACATAGAGCAACCAAAATGGCGACAATTGAAAGTCAGTGAACAAGAAAGACTAGTGCGCATGCGCGGGACGCCTACCACGGCGCGGCGACGGCGCTAGAATGAAACGGTACTTAGTTTCCGAATACGCTACGTATATATATATATAAAACACTGAAACATCACACAGCTATTAAGATTTAACTACTGTAAATATAAGTATGTTTAGTGTATGCAGTTACTTTTCATGGCTTAGTGCAAACTTGGTGTAATAGAAATTAAATAAACTACTTTAGGTTTTTTAAAATGTATCAATCTGTTATTGTACCGTATTCGTACTTAATGTTAACTGTAATATAAAGAGAAAAATGAATGAACTACAAATGTAAGCTAATTTCGGATCTGAAAAATTAAATAAAAGAATTTTATATGCTGAACTTATATGCTATTTTGTTTCAGAGTTCTTCATTCATTTTTTACCAGATCATAGTTTTGCCTTAAGTCAGTATTACCATCTTTTTTTAACAGAATGTTTTTCAAAAGCCTCACTAGTTTGACACATTGCATTCTAAGAAAATTATTAGCAATAACATCATAACCATCTGTGCACTTCTATAACTACCTCAATGATCAAAAGTAGTTCCTGGACATTCTAATACTTATTCAATAACTTTCAACAAGGATATCGAAATATGGAAGTAAATATAAGTCCCAGCTTAAACTACAAAGGGCGGGGGGAATGTAACAAAGCGAATAAAACCAAAGAAAATTTGGGGAACATTTATTACGAAAATGAATGCATATTTATTAATATGTCTTTGATACTAATAACAATAATTTTTATGCATTTTTATGATACTAATAACAATAATTTTCATGCATTATTTCTGTAAATATATTCATTTCAATGTGAATGCCATAAGAATACCTTGAAGATTACGCAATTTACAACCATGTAAATATTGGCAATATATTAAGTCCACTTTACTTTTAGCACTTAGCACGTGAAATAATTAAATGTTAAATCATTTAAGACCAATTAAAAAAATAAATACTGAAACTCACCAATTTCTACCAAGGAAGCTCCATCATCTTCTATTTGATAATTTCTAAACCAAATTCGGTTGTCTAGTATGGCAAAATTATATACATGATCGAAGAAAGGCTGACTTTTAGGATGATTTTTAGGAGTGCCAAATATCTAAATAATAATATAAATTAATAAGCATATAAGCTTCCTAATGAAATGAAGCAAAATTATATTTCCCCTTTACAATGATTACAATCTTTTTTTTTTTTTTTTTTTTGTGAATTTTTTTATTTACAAACTATTACACAAAGAATAAGAAAAAATAATATATCTGGAATTTATAGAATAATCCAAACTCTATATTCAATATAACGTGAGTACTGCAAAAGAAATTTAAATATTTCATCTCGTAAATTTCAGATCATTTTGTAATGAGACAGCAGATAAAAATAATCCATATTAATAGAAAAAATGTAATAATTACAAAAATTTTTAATTTATGTTAAAAATTAAAATTTGGTATAAGCCAATCAGCATTATGTTTATTTAAGCTAAATATACTTGCTTAGTTTTCCTTTCTATAATAATGAATATTTACACCACCACATTGTTTCATTTTTTAGTTTTCACCATGCAATATGACAGCATTATCACATTTATATTCATATTAGTTTTATCTAGTGAAAATATTGTTTCCAACTCCTCTGTGGCAATACTTTAGCCCCCTTTCACCAAATGACACTCACTTTAAGAATTTTTGTTCTAAATGAGGTTACAGGAAATTAAATTATCATATTTAGTCATGAATAAAACATATTTAAACATTCGGCTCACAGGTAATGTAGAGATTAGACCACATATATAAAGAATATCCTACATACATGCTCAATGTTAGAAAACACAGATTTCTTGGCTGATCTGTCAAATACTAAAAACAGAATAAATCAAACTGCCGAACTGCCAATTTATAATCAAGCTATTCACCCACCAAGATTATAAAACACACTTATTAAAATAAATCCACCTACTTGTATAAATACTTCCTTCAAGAGCTTTAAGTGAGGTTCTGAGTCAAATCTCTGGAAAATATATATATATATATATATTATTGTTAATTATTAATCAATATTTTACAAAATCAGAAAGCTATCCGAAATAAAATGAGTTGTCTCAACAAATTCATGATTCCCCACACTTTTGTAATATTTTGAGGTCCTTATCTAAATCAACCTTCTCATAAATACAGTACTCATCACTTATTAAACTTATTGGCTAGTAAAATTATGTTCAGATTTCCAGGAATCAAAACAACTATAAACTAATGAATACTGAAACTAACCACTGTTTTTTTTAAAAGTCAGATTGGCAAAGAAGATGCGATAGAATAGCCTACTTGTACCTATCTAGTTATTTGCAGTTCATCGATTTAACTTACCATGGACTGTGGCTTATTGATCATTTAGGTATGTAACATATGAATAAAACGAGTTTCACTGAAAGTTTTGTACCTTTGGATCCTGAATCTGTCAAATAATGTTTTCATAGGTCTTTGTCCACAATGGAATGCGAACAGAATTTCCGACACTATTCTGTTATCAGAACCGGATCCAAAAATGTATGTATGCATTATATATGTAAACATGAATGTACGTGTGTATACATACATATATATATATATATATATACACAGATGCATACATTCATACATTTTTCAATTCGGTCCCGATAACAGAACAGTACTGAATTTTTTTACCTTACGTTTAACCAAAAACTATCCCGTACAACCATTGTAAAATGAGTGAGTGTTTCATCTGTGAAATATCATCCAATAGGAGGAAGTGCAGCTTCAAATTCAAAATCTTCCTCTTGCAATATACACATTATGTTCAATGAGAGTTCTAAACCATATTCTGAAATGCTTCCTAGAATTACCAGACATTAAAAATCATTGCTTTGAAATTAAATAAATCATTAAGAACCATTTTTAAAATTGGTTATGTTTCAACTCAGGCTTAAAGCTGAAAATGCATTAAGCCTGAGAGAAAACAATAAATTATTGAGAGATCCTGATTTTTTTAATGAAGCCAGAGGAAAACAGCACTTAAACTGAGAACTTCACAAACAGTATTGTGCACTTTACTTTTAAGAAAAATAATAATTTATGATGAACTAATGAAAAATGAAAATATCTCAAGGAAGTGCAAAAAATATGAAAACTTAAGAGACTTTGTATATGCACTTATAGAATGGTTTTAAGTTATGAAACTGATAGATTTCTTATTTTTAAAGTTCTTATAAATAAAAGCTATGGACTTTGCTAAAATGCTGGGAGATAATTTTTTGTCAAAATAATAGATGACTGTCAAGCTGAAATCTAACATAGTTCATCAGAAACTGCTTAGTGAGAAGGAAGATGGATAAAAGCCACATGAGATTTATAATGCAGGCGAAACTGGATTGCATTATAGAATATCATCAGAACATGCATTAATATCTAAAAGTAATAGAAAGAAGAAAGAGTTGAAAAAAAGGTGTTGCAGTATTATTAACATGCAATATAGACCCAGCAATTCAAAAGACAATACTGGTTATTCAAGGGGGGAAAAAAAAAGATAACCTCATTGTTTACAAAGAATAAAGAATTTATCTCTATCTTACCACAGCAACAAAAATTCATAAATAACAAGTAATATTTTTATTAATTTTCTTTTAAAATGGGATGGCAAATTGTAAAAGTAAAAAACAAGAGTTTTACTAATTACATAAAATGTGCAGCATACACAATTTTGATCTCTCTAAAAAATATTAATGTCTCTTCCTGCAAATACAAAATCTAATATTCAGCATTTAAACCAAGGTAATATTAAACTTTTGAAATATCATTACAAAAATTAGTATTCAGAAAATGATAAACAGAAATGAATATTGTAAAAATACAGGAGCTTTGAAGAAGATAAGTAAGTCAGTATCTCTACCAGAGGCTATGCATATCATAGACAATGCAAGAGATCAGTCTTAAAAAACAGTTAAAAACTTTTTCAAAGGTGTGAATTTATGAAGAGAAGGCCTCAGAGGAATTACAAACTATAGCTAATGCTTCAGACATGAGAAAGGGAAGTTCTGAAGATTCATTTTTAGGAGATGCATCAATTTACAACATATTGAGAAAAATGTATGTAAAAACTAATCATAGTACAGGGTTTGTACACATTTTTGCACAAGGAAATTAACTACTTTTAAGGACCATTAATGAAAAAAAATTAAGGACCTATGAGCAAATGGGTACTGAATAAATTCAATTGACGATATTATCTATGCCAGAATTTCCCTTTTGTAATACATCCTAAAAATAAAATAGATCCCTAAGTAGTACGCATTATTACTAAACATGAATTAATTAACATAATTGTTAATAAGTTTGAGAATAAAATAAACTTTGCAATTTATCAAGTAGCATTAAACATTTTACACTTGTAATTGTTGGTCATATTTGAAAGTAGATAAGTGACATTTACGTTTTACTAAAAGTTAGCTTTATGTTGATTTTTTTTATGTCTCATTTTGTCACATACTTGGTCAGTCTGGAGGTTTAGTAAATAAGCAGGTAGACTTTATGTCAAACTGCATAGGTTAAAATGAGACAATATCATAATCAGCATGATTCATAACAAAAGACTAAATGTTGTCACCGTTGCTGCTTGTCTAGAGAGAGACCTGCTGATTAGAACAAACCTGAAATGACTGATGTAGGCAAGGTTGGCAAGTGTTGAAAGTTAGTCAGGTTCTGTTTGATGCAGTTATTGTCATAGCTTCGTGTACAGTTCCAGGGGTTATAACTCAGTTAATATACTTTAAGGTTCCAATAAGCCATTAAAGCACCAAAGGTAATAATGTGTTTTGTATTATTTTACGTCTAAGTAGATGCATAGAATATGTTTTACTTGAATTTTTACATTTTTATATTTTATCTTGTGACCACAGTGAGTATTAATGAAAGGCAATAACTCGCTTTAATATGTAGAGATAATTTTTAAGGGTACACAAGTAATTATAAATAACTAAATTAGGTAGTTTGATAAGCTTAGTCATTATGGATTTACATGACCACTATTAAATTTTATTTTTTTAACAATATTTGTTACAAAAGCCTTATTAAAATCAAATCTAATAAAATTTCAGTTTTTGTAATTTATGTATATGTAATTAAAGTATATGTAATTTATGACACAGATTCTTAAACGATATTAAGATAATTACGCATTAAAAGCTACAGGAACATTTACGTTTTGTAACAACAACAGTCAACAAATATTTATCCGTCATTTTAATTTGAACCTTCCCAGACATTTTGGCTAGTTTGTATTGATTTCTTTCTCTTTAAGCATCTTTTCTAACAATTCGAGATTTGTCTCAATATGCAAATCAATACTTTTGCTAGTTTCTGCGTCTTTATCTCCTAACTTGCCAACCTTTCCACAATGTACCTATGAGGGTTCAATTGATCTGGTAAAAGCTAAATAATTCCAAACTCCTGACAGGCGTGAAGCATATTATTGCTTTGTCTGAAAAAAATTAACTAATACCAGATAAAGGTTTAAATAAGCCTCTTATTTAAAAAGAGCTTAGAACATGGCATGTTCTGATGCAAACAAAATCAATTACAGCTTATGGTGACGTAATTAAACAAGAACAGTCAAATTCAAACTAATAATGTGGACTAGTGATCAAAGATTATACTATTTAATTTTAATTTAATCTGGCTCAATAACTCTATCATATGAGAAAACAGAAATGGGGAATTATAGTAAATGTTGAAATCATAAACAATTGGGTAATTTACATAATAATAACTGCACATATCTTTGAAGAATAATTTCCTTTATGTATTTAGTTTCTTTTTTCAACACGTTTTCTTTTCCTTTTAGAATTTTTGGATTTAATTAAGGATTTCTGTTATTCTAAAAAGCACTAAATGCAATTAGAATGTACAGAAAAAGTGGCTAATTTTATTTCTTTAGTAATAGGAACATTCAGAAGCAATATGAAATATATATAGTAAAGTTCAGTTAGAGCTGATGTGGCAGAAGTTCTAGAATTTAGTGACACACCGAACAACAAAATCTAGAAATGGCAAAACTTTTAGAATTTAGAGCAAGCATTGGAAGCAGAATTTAGAAAGGCACTAGGCAGTAGAATTTAGGATCCACAGAGATTGCATCAGGTGGGAAAATGCCTAGTGCCAGCTATGTGTATGATGCATTAAGCAATATTAGATGAATCTTTTAAATTGTAAGTTTTCAATTTCTTTATTAGTAAAAAAATCCTTTTTCTATAATGTCTGCCCATGTGATAAGATCAGAAGCATTTTTGATATTTTCCATGTTTCTGTGTAGTGAAAAGTAGAGAAAATAAAGAGAAGATAAACATGTTAAGATTCTAGTATCAGAAGTAATACATTCAAATGTGTTTTCATTGTTCTTCCAAACGTTCTCCAAAAATTAAGAAATTCATTGTAAACTTTCTATGAAATACATCCATTACGTGTTGATACTATGGAGACATTTTTCATTTTGTCATATATTTCTCGAATCTTCTAGAATCGTGGGTCTATAAATTTTACCTTTAAATCCTTCTAAACTTTCGAAGCTGCAATATCTAAAATTCTAAAGAAAATTATCCCTACAAATTCTGTAACAGCAAAAAGCCAGAATATTTTGAGAAAAAATAGGAGGGAAAAAGTATAAAATAATTTTATAGAGAAAACCGATGCACATTCTGAGAATTTTGAATATTCTAGACAATTACATGGAAAAAACTCTTACTATGAAAAAATTAAAAACAAGACATTTTTAATTAATTACATAGCTAATTTTGCTTTTGCTAAGAGCTCCTTCATGAACTGTGCTTTACTTTAGTTATAATGCTTAACTTGTTTATTTTTCAGATTAAAAATATCGTATAATAAGTTGTCAAAATGAAACTTTATAATATTACAGCGAAAAATAAAAATTTTTCATTTTAATGTTATTTTTAAATATAATTTCAATATATTTCTATTATTTTAATGAAATTTACTAATGCTACAATGTTTTATAAAAAAAATCGTCGAAAAATTCTCAGATCTCAGAATTAAAAAGTTTCTATGGAAGCTAATCTTAAAATCCCCAAATTTAGAACCGTTTAATAAAAGAATTCACATCCCAAAAGTGAAAAGTTGTTTAAGAGCTCTTTACTAGAAAAAATTAATTTCAAAATGATTATGTTTCACTTCTTGCTTAGAAACTCGAGTATCCCATCATTTATACTAGAAATAGAAACAAATAATAACTCATGAACCCATTCAAAAGATAACCATATATACGGCAGTGAATCGCCAAAAATATTCCTCACAATGCTAATTCACACTCAAAATGACAGTCGTAAAAGCGGGCAGAAATTTCAGATGATTAAAATTAGGGACCTTCTGCTGATTTTGGCCAAAATTAAGGACTTTTAAGGACCAAAAATCGATTCCAAAAAATCGACTTTTAAGGACTCTTAAGGACCGTATAAACCCTGTAGTATTTTTAAAAAGTGTTAAAAGAACTGCAGAGATTGTTGGTGTAGAAAAAAAGGTATGATATGCTAGTATCAGTCAAATTGTAGAAGTATTGCAAATTCTTAAGCTGAACTGAAAGATGCTGATCAAAAATGTTACCATCAGTGTTTGAAAATACAAAGGGTTGTTCACACATTTATGTTACGATTTTTATTTTTAATAATTGAATTTAAACATTGATTTTAAAATAAAAATGTGACTGGAATCAAATTGGAATAAGGTTTAATTATCATCTGTAGAATAAAAAATATTCTTTTCTTTAAAATGTCGCTGAAAAATAAACAATGGATGGGAGGCTTTATTTTTTTGCTGTCTTCACTGTGGTGACAAGGCTGCAAACATCAATCAATAGATAGCAAAATCTGTAGTACAGTTTTAAATACAAAATCACCAGCAAAAGTTAAGAAATTGATGAACAGATTTTTGAGACTAAAAATTTCAATTGACTATTTAGTGAAAATTTTTGATACTCCAATTACAAAACTTTGAAGCTGAGCAAGAACTCATATCTCTCTATAAAATTAAAGAGAAAGTTAAACAAAATCCCTTTTAAAGAATTTTCATTGAAACAAATGTTTAATAAAATAAAACAAACTTTTTTTTTTTTTTTTTTGGTGTGTGTGTGTGTGTGTGTAATGTATATCAAACAATTTTCATCTTACATAGTAGGTTATAGTAGTAAAAATTACATAGTAAGGTTTCACTCTACATGGTAATTTCCTTTAACAAGGAAATAACAAAACATGGTGAAGAAATTAAATTCTTACTGTTACTGAATTTAGAGGATTAATACTTTTTCATACATTTAAATAAAATAGTTGAAACAAAGAGTATACTCACACTGTCAAATGATAAAATTGGTCTTGATCCTTTCAAACAATTGCCAGTCAATTTAAGTTCTTCCATTGTATGGACTGCACAGAATTAAGATTATATACAAAAACAATATTTATACATAATATCACAGATAAAAAAAATATATGATAAACTCTACAATTAATTCATCAAAGAAAAATGCAAGTCGAGGAAAATAAGTCTGCGGCTTGAACATACATGGACTGGTACCTGTGGATCCAAGTAGGCATGTTAGATATTGCTGCGCCTTGCTAATTGCTAAGTTAATGCCTTGGATGGAATTCTAAGGATGAAAACTCGTGGAATGCAATTCCGAAGATCTCCTATACATCTTCTCCAACCACTAGCCATTTCAGAGGACTCAGCTTGCTGTATAATTTGAGAACAATTCTTACTACACAGACACTATATACTAACAAACATCCATGCCTTCTTGGACCCATCTGGGGAGGGGGGAGTCTGTAGCTTGAACAGATATCTAAATAACAGGCAAGAATTTTTGCCATTAAGTTCCCTCCTAAATTCTAAAATTTGTGCTGCCGGTGCAGCCACAGCCACTTATATAACATATGTAACATGAACACAACATCACTGTCTTTGCACTTACAACACAAAAAGCTCAACAGCAATTTTTTTTTTTTTTTTTTTAAACAGCATATCTTCAGAATTTCCAATACAGTGTTAAGTGTTGCCACATATTTTTTAGCTCAGAAAGGCTATTATTTTTCAACCTCACTTTTGCATCTAATCACTTTTGTTGTTCATTCCAATTTTTTTATATATAATACATTTTTTCTTTAAAAATAATAAACAATAATAACATTTGGTAGCAACATCTTTTTATTTGTGTTGCCCTATATATTACATTCACTATATTATTTCTTTAAAAATTACACAGTGATAATATTTAGTGGTAACATCTGAAAAGTGATACAAACAAAAATGTGAGGTTAAAAACTAATAGCACTTCTGGCACTAAAAAAGAAAGAAAAAAGAATATCATAGTTAATAAACTATCTAAGAGTTCTGCATATTATGCTACATGTCAAAATTCATAGTGATTTACAATTAAATAGTGCACCTTCTTACATTAAATAATTTTTAAATACCTCTTCCTTTAATGCATATAATACAACAAATTGTGTTATCTTATGAATATAAAAAAGAAGAGATTTATATTAAAATGTGAAATATACTATACTAAGTCATTCAATATATGAAAACATCAATACATTTTAAAGATTCAAAGAATTACATTTACCATTCTCTATTAAGAATTTTGCTGAAGGTCCACTGGGCACATTAGAAATCCTATAACAAAACATAAAAAAGTAAATTTTTATAACAGAACTTCAGTTTAATCTTTCATTTCCCCTCCCCACCCCAGTATAATAGTTTTTGAGAATTTTCAATTCAACTTAAAATTACAGTGCATCTAAAGAAAAAAATAAATAAATAAATAAATAACTCGTACTAAATATACAGACTCTTAGAAACACATGGCAACTGGCTCTATTTCTTTAAATATTGAATCTAGACCCTATATTTTTAATTTAAAAGTTTCTTAAAATAAGGGGAGAAATTCTATGAAAGCAGTCTTACACTGTGGAAAATAATAAAACCTAATTTTTTAATACAATTGCTTAGAGTAAACATTTCAATTAATAAAACAGTCCATATATTTCAGAGTACTTGAGTATTAGAGCACAGTTTATGATTTATTGGTAGTTTCTGGTGATGCAGCAGAATGATGAAATAAGCACTCGCTACTTTTAATTTAATGCACCAAGGTTTACCATATCCAATCTGAAAAATAAAATGGAATATCTCCCCAAAACTATAAGAATTTTAAAGATGTAAGAATTTAGAAGAAAAAAATGTTTTCACTGTTATATTAATCAAAAGAAATGAATTAACTTTTTTTAAAAATCATATTAAGGGTTAGTTTTAATTATTATGTGCAATTTTTGGGGGTTTGTCTCTTCTGTTTCAATTTTACCATACATTAATAATTTTTGAACAGTAAATCACTCAGCACAAAAATTACAATTTAGACTATTTCCTTGAAATATGCATGATCTTCCAATGCAGACCTAAAAGAGAATGCTTTAACTCTTTCCGCCACACTATCTTTTAAATTGGAAATTCAACCTCCCCCCGCAAAAAAGGTAGGCAATCTAATCAGGCATACAGAAATACACATGTAAAATTTTGTAAAGATAGCATTTACAGTTTTAATTTTGTGGGTGTTTGAAGTGGACTCAATGAATGAATAGAGCTTCAGAAACAGCGCTGAAGCAAGCATTTTTGAGAAGTATGTAATATGAAATAGAGTTAGAGATTTTGCCTAAAATTAAAAAAAGCCAGATTATTATTACCACAGCAGATTTAGCATTACCCAGGGTGCACCATGGGAAGGCCTGGTACTCAACATCCCCCCCCCAAAAAAATAAAAGCACTTCTTCATTATATGATGATTACATGCATGCAAATGAAAAAAAGGTAACTTGGCTGCATGATATTTACATTTCATATTTACACTATCGTCTATTTTTTCATGGTGGTACTTTTCAAAACAAATGACACCACTTTTCAAAAAGCACAACACAACATTGCATGTTTTGCACACATACCGGGATTGGTATGAGAATCACTGTCTGAAGTGCTTCAGAAATGGTTAGCCCTCTCCGAGCTATTTGCAAAATAATTAAAAATCAGAAAAAAGTAAACCAATATTATATCTACAATCTAAAATATAAATTATACAATAAAATTAAATAAACATCTACAACTCAAAACTATCAAAATAGAGCTAACAAAACTTTTTACAAAAGCGAAAAAAAGAAAGAGAACTGTTCTAGTGAAAAATCAAAGAGCTAACTGATAAAATTACCCCTGACCTTCAGGAAAACATCCTAAAATTTTTTAGCTGATAACCCAAACTCTCCTCAAAATAATAATAATATGTATATATATATATTATAATAATAATAAATATTTATATAAACAGATGTGCACCAACTTTCCTATTGTGAATGAGCTCATTAAAGAAAATACTACAGTGAAACAAAGATACAGTTGCTGGCCTGGTCCTGGTGTGTCAGTGATTGCAAATGCACTTTGGGCACACCAGATGTTTGGCATTCGATTTTAGGCAAGATTTCAAGGTAAAAATTTAAAGCCTAACAGAAATCTTGAAGATTTCTTTCAAAAATGAGGGTCTTTAAAAACTAAATATGGCTAAAATATATAGACTGGTTTTTCTTGTGCTGCTATCTAGTATAAATAAAGAAACTTAAAAGTAACCTATAAAGCCTTTTCCATTTAATTTTTGCATGTGCACAAAAGGAATTTTTTGGGGTGGGCACATAGTGCCAGAAAGGGTTAGTGCAAAACCTACAGGGTAAAATAATTTTTATTCCCTAAAAGATGACCAGTTTAGTCCCACACATACAAGAGTCTATTATCTCTTACTTTTTCTGAAGAGCAAAATTCCCATTATGGCATTAATCTAGAACAAGCTCTTGAACTCTTTCTTATAAAGAACTCGAATGGACAGAGAAAACCAACCAATTCAATTCTTTGGTTCTACGGTCACCACACGATATAATATGGTATTCTAAAGGGTTCCCACTGGGGTTTATCTGAGCTAACAAAGTCAGTTCCATCTGTCGACTAGCTCCACTATGCCTGCAGTTCAGATTTTTCAACTTGCTGCACTATGGGAAAAAACTAGTTTTGAAGATGTCACTTGTCTTCATTAGCTCAGATAAACTCCAGTGGGAACAGTTCTTTAGGATTGCATCACACAGTGAAAACACTTTGGAAGAACTACTCTTTAGTACAGTTTTTCTGCTTTGTCACATGTTATACATTAGCCAAACAACATTTCACTTTGGGGATACCAGGTAATGGGGAAATTGGTCCTCCATTACAAACACAACTACTAACAGACAGCAAGTTCTTTAGTTTAGAACATAGAGAAAAAATACTAAGAATGTTTGTAAAAGGGAAGCAAAAAATCATGCATCTTTCAATGATAAAGAAGAGAAAAATTGTTTGAAACAATCGTTTGTCAGAAACAGAGTGTCTTAAAATATGGTTACTGTGCATACTGGTTTTTCAAACACTGGGTAATATAGCTATTTCACATAATCCTTAATTAGAAAACAGAGAAATTGGCAATGAAGGTAAAAGAATGGAAATGTAAAGTTGCTTTTTGCAATCCTATAACCTAAAGATAGATGTTTTAAGAATTAAGATTTATTGATTATCATTCTTACTGGGTTTATTATGAACTTAGTATGCTACAGCGGAGTTTGTCTTTTGATTTCCAGCAAACATTGTTTGGTAATGTACACTTTCAATATACTAAAATTTTAGAAAATAATAAAAAAATTAAATGTAAAAAGGGAACATGACAATGTATTTTTATTTAGGGCAAGAAAGAATTGCTGGGCAGCCAGCCAGTAATTACTAGATATAAAATTAAAAACAAGTCAAAATTTTTAAGTCCAATTTTAATAAAATTAATACTTTTTTATTTTCTTAGTCGACGAAAACTAGTTACTTAACATGGATTAGCCCAACTCTGAATTTGTCACTAGTAAGATTTTATACTTTGGTATCTGCTGATTACTGGACTGCAAAATAATTATTACAGCAATTCCCCCCTGCTGTTTTATTCAAATTTCTTCCCAAACATGCATTCAAGGATAGCCGTATTGAAAGTTTATCTACTACAGCTGAAAAAATTAATTCTTTAAAATGTAATTCTACTACTGATATTTTTCTTGGTAATTGATCATTGGTAATTCTCAACCTACAAAATAAATACTATGTAAATTAAAGCATTTAAATATGATCCAAAAAATTCCTTTACCAGAAATCAATAGGACTCAAAGATATTTACAGATGAAAGCAATTTTATATAGGAAGTTATATGTATTGTGGTTGAAAAAGATATTTTGGAATGCAAAACAAAATTTTTTTAATTCACTTTCACTGTAATGAAAGATTTCAGGTACACAAGCATATAGGGATAGGATTATTTGCCTAAAACTAAGTAAAATTTGAAAATCAATATTTAGTTAGCTTACTCTCCTTCAGCTAATTTTTAGGATCTTAAACATGCATATCTTGTAATCATTTATATTACAAAGAAAACAGAACTAAAATTCATACTTTCATTACATCCACATGCACAGTTCTTAAAAATCTCAAAATTATCTGAAGACATAAATTAGAAAATACCAGACAAGTGATCTTTTTTTTTCCCCTAGTAACATATGTCATAACGTATTTCTTCCACCTTCTTAGCATGCCTTTGTGGTATAGTGGTCAGCACACTCGAGAGGTCCATGGTTCCAGTCCCCCCAGCGAGGCCATTGCTCATTTTTCATCTCTCCTGCTTTCAAAAAATATTTAATGTCTCTACAGTGGCACCCAAACTAAAAAAGGTGGTGGATAATGATTCTCCACCACCGAGATATGGTGATTGGGTCCCCTAATCCCCAGTCATCCTTTAAAAAGGGGGAGTATATAAGGTCTTTCTTTCGCCTTTCTTAGCATACTTTCGTGGTGTAGTGGTCAGCACACTCGATGCATATTTGAGAGGTCCGTCATTCGAGTCCCAGCAAGAGCACTGCTCATTTTTCATCTCTACTGCTTTGAAATAACCTAATGTCTCCACAACATATCAAATAATGGATGAAAGTATGAAATTAAGATTTAAATGCAACTTGAAAATTTAAGGCCATAAGTTAATATAACATACCACATATATAAATCTTGATGCTTCTTATTTTCAAAATAAATACAATGATTGCAATTCTTCATCTCACAAATCTAGAGCAAAAAAAAAAAAAAAAAAAAAAAAAAAAAAAAGGTTACTTTTTAAAAGTTAATATTGAAACAAGGATTAACCATTCTTAACAAGAGGAAATAGCAAGCAATTATTTCAGTTATTACATTAGAAGGCATTATGGTAATACTACATTTATTTTGCTTGCAAGTGATTTACACACAGATGTTATTTACTGGTGTACAACTGATTGAATGTAAGATTACATACATACATTGTAAATAAGAATGAGTTTCCAAAATGTGAGGATCATATGAAATTGTGACATAACTCAGATACTTTCAAAATACTACAGAAGTTTAACCAGGATTAATTTCTAAAATTGGAAATGCCAGGATTGTATGAAAGGAATGTGCCCCACTAAAAATGAAATGGTCGAGGCCACTAAATACTGGTAGTTTGACTGCGTTTGAACTTAAATGAATGAGCTAGTTGCATGGTTGGCTTTTACGTAATATAAATATGAGCCACTTTATGATAGAAAGTCCTTCACAGAGGAATCATCCCTTAGACAGAAGAGCAACAATGAAATGCATTCCCTTGTTAGCTGCTGTTGCTAAGGCAAAGAATATGTATTGTTAAGAAGGAAAACTTTGCAGCAGCAGAAATGGCTCCCTCCGAACGAAAAGGGACACAACTGTGCACGCATGAAATATCTGTCGCCAAAAAGCGGCAAAGCTCGAAGCTGATGTCGAAGTTCGAACAGGTTTCGACGGTCACGTTTATCAAGAGTTTAAAGCTATGTGACTCCATTTTTTTCCCCTACATATTGACAGATATAAAATCAGACATCAATCTGCAATATGGATAATGCAAGTTCAACTAGTAAAGCAAAAATGCACGAAAATTCGAGTTTAAATTACAAAAGTCAAAGATTCATCTTAACCCGTGTTCCTTAATCTCCTGTACACGTGGCGGAGGTAGAAAATATCGGCCAGGTACATCATAAAGCGGGAAATTCTCGCCAACAGGCTCCATCGTCAAATCCCTCGGAGAACTGTCCTTCTTTCTAGCGGCATAGAAGACAAACTGGTTTACATTATGTCTATGGAGCCTTTCCTTCTTTACATAGGCTTTCTTTGGCTAAGGGTTGTATGAAGCTGAGCCTCCCCAATTCTCCGATTTTTAAGCGAAAACAGATCACTGTGTACTTTATGAGAAGAATAGCAAAAAAACAAATAAATAAAAATACAGAACTATTGAAAAAGAATATAAGTGTTTTATTTTTTTAATGCATTATGTACTCCTTATTTAATAATTCAAATCTGTATTGTTTTCTCTTCATAAGTTGATAATGTTTACTGATATATGATAAATATTGATAAAAATTATTCTAAAAAAAAACACAAACCACCAACTTGCACTCGATAGGTAATTTTTACCTTTTTACCAGTAAAAAATCGACAAACTATGCCAAGGTAGTTGCTCTAATACGTAACCATCTAGCCACGTATGTTAATACAGGGTGGTTATAATTAAAGTGACCCTATTCAGACCCTTGTAAAACCTGTTCTGCCAATCGGCTTTTGGTGAAACTTTGTATATACGTTATATGGACTATGGAGAAAAGATTTCTGCAATAAAAAATAGTTCAAATTTTGACCACCAGATGGCAATTTTCAAAAATTCCTTATGCAAATTAGTCAAACCTATAATGAGGTTTGCAGTCAGAGCCAGAAAATCATTCTGTGTGCCTTTGTCATCGTTAATCATACCCTTACAGAAGAAAGATCGAGCTTTACTTGTAAAACTGTTTTATCAAAACAGGAGCAATGACTTAGTTGCATTGCTTGAATATCATCGTTTAAAGAGACTGTGAAAAGAGCCCATGCTGAAGAATGGTTTGAAGATGATTATGAAATTTTTTTATTGCCCAAATTGTTTCCTCATAGTTCATATAACATATACCAAATTTCATCAAAATTTAATAAATAGAACAACAGGTTCTAGAGGAATCTGAATAGGGTCACTTTAATTATAACCACCTACTTATAATAATAGTAATAAAACACAGAACTTTCTGGACGAGCTTATATTTTTTCTTAAATATACTGTTTGCATTTTATACTATTTAATGTGCATATAATATTTATTATTTTGGTACATCACACTTCATTATTTTATTTATTTTTAATTCCTGTTAGAACTGATTTTGATATTTAACTTAAAATCTTATCAGTAACGTATAATGCTATGTACAGGAACAGCAATATTGATCTTAGTTTAGCATCACATTTACATAGAGAACAATCCAGAGCATAATCTGCTATGAATATTTATTTCTAGTATAATTTTACGGTGTACACAATTAGGCTGATCTTTGGAATATGGTAACTGGTAGTTTGGCGACATTTTGGAGGCGATAAAGGTTACTACCTAGGACTTTAGTAATAATGTGAGAAGTACTCAGTTCCAATTACGCATTATTTTGTGTGAGGGAAATGAGAGATCATGATATATCATGTGACATTAATGGATGAATTACAATTCTTTAATCGGAAAAGGGGGGAAATCTGGAAATTTTGTATTTAGCTTTATTCTGTATTGTGTGAAACAGTGTTGGTTAATTTTTGGATCCCATGGCCCTAACTAAAGTGAATTCGAAATGGGTATTTAGTGGGATTGAAAGGGGTAGTAATAAGTGTTTTTTTAAGGTTGTGCGAGAGAGAAGTAAAGATGTTTTATTAAGTTATTTATTTTACCCGGCACCTTGCTGTGAACTATAAGTATGATTTTAAAGATCCTGAAATAGGCGCACATACGATTGCTTTTTATTTAGCGGAGGAAATAAGAAAAGTTTATCGGCCACGTAATCAAGATTCTGAAGAAGATTAGGTAAGTTAGTATTTTTAATTATTTGAGGATATTATTTTTATGCATTGTTCTAAATGTAAGGAGTAAATAAAGTAATACGGTATTATTGGAAAATTATTATTAGCAATGATTTAGTTTAAATTAATTAGGATTGTAAGCTAATTTTTATTAATTTAATGTATGTGCTTATTTATATTTTTAAGTAGTGTTTTTGAATTTAATTATATTTTAATTAAATGATAGTTATTTTGCGAATTATATGTTTGTAGGAATTTGGTATACGTTTCAGTGGAAGTAAACGTGCATGGAAATAATTTAAATATTTGACACTAAGTATTTGTAACCATTTGTAATGTTTGAGGTATGAATTCGTTGGTGACGTTTATAATATAATAGATAATTTCGAGGTAAAAGTTTTTGGATATTTTATTTATTTTATACGTGGAAATGTTCATCTTTGGAAAGGGTATATACTTTTTCACGATCAGGTAATTTCATATATGCTCTTTTACCGGATTTAAAGATTCACAAAACTTTCATGCATTTTCGTGAAATTTTTCTAATTTATGAGAAAAAAGCAGTGTACATGGATATAGTGAAGAGTGTGCGCAATGCCATTTTTGTGCAATTCTGGGATGTTTTTTTTAAGTAAAAATAAGTCGACGTGTACATGGTTTAGTGATATTTTAATTAAATGATAGTTATTTTGTGAATTTTATGTTTGTAGGAATTTGGTATACGTTTAAGTTGAAGTAAACGTGCATGGAAATAATTTAAATATTTGACACTAAGTATTTGTAACCATTTGTAATGTTTCCGGTACGAATTCGTTGGTGACGCTTATAATATAATAGATAATTTAGAGGTAAAAGTTTTTGGATATTTTATTTATTTTATACGTGCAAATGTTCATCCTTGGAAAGGGTATATACTTTTTCGCGATCAGGTAATTTCATATATGTGCTTTTTACCGAGTTGAAAGATTCACAGAATTTTTTTTCATTTTCATGCAAATTTTTGTAACGTAATTTCGCACGTATAGTCCGCAGACACGATTTTATATAAAAAAAATTTCAAAAATCGTCAGATAGTCCGCACAACCGGATAGTCCGCGGATTGTACGTCCGAAATTACGCTTTTTTAATATGTCTATATTAATGTATTTTAGAAACAAAGAACTAAGTATAAATAGAAAAAAAGGGCGATGTTTCATCAACGTTATCGAAGATGAATGACAAAATACTGTGCTATCCTCATGATAAGTGGTAATGAAATGTTACCTTCGACCCCACTCACTTGGTGTTGCCAAACCACGCTATAAGTAAACAAATCACGCTTTTTTTTTTGTACTCCAGGTACTTGCTACTAAGGCTCCTAAAAACCGAGCTGACAATCGATACGATATATACAAATGTTTTCTTGGAATCTCTCGCTTTTTTTATATTTGATCATCGGCAGTTCACGACAGCTTGTTTTTTAAATTTCAACAATTTTAACCACGAACAACCAGCGTATTATCCGCACTGGTGGATAGTCTGCAGCTTCAAAAATTGACATTTTAAACACAGATAGTCCGCGGACTATATGCGCGAAATTACGGTAATTTATGAGAAAATAGCAGTGTAGATGGATAAAGTTAAGAGCATGAGCAATGCCATTTTTGTGCAATTCTGGGATGTTTTTTTAAGTAAAAATAAGTCGACATGTAAATGGTTTATGTGTATGTGCTATTCTGAAAAACGCGCAAGGAGTTTGGGATTGTGCACTTTTTCCCAATTTTGCAGTTAATATTTGTCATGATTAAGCAGTTTTGTTACATAAAATTTCTAGCATAAGTGTAATTCGGCTAGTAGATTGTTGGAAAAAGTGTTGAGTAAATAAAAAGAAAAGAAATGTCTTTACTTTGTGAAGACAAAAAGTAGAGGGTTGCTGTAGCAGAGTTGGTCGCCAAAGTTTCACCAAAAAATCGCCAAGTTACCATAATCCAAAGATCAACCCACAATTATGTGTACATTCTAGAATTTTTACATGAGCTGCTGAAAACTTGCTTCGATCCAAACATGGTTTCTTTATTACTACCCATGATTTGTCTGTTGTATCCCAATCCTAATGTTCAGCGTGTGATGCTGGATATTCCCCCACCCTTTTTCTGCATATTCTGCTACAAAAAGGAGTTTCATATACATTCATTTCTTAACTTAGACAAAAAATGATTTCACATGTCATACATAAGTAATGAGAATAATAATGACTTGGATCTTACAGTTACTAAATGCAAATATCAAAACGGGATATTCGAACCTTACAAAATTCAACATATGAATTTTCCACACCAAAAGAAGAGAAAAAGTCATAACTTACCATTCAAGAATTACTAAACAGATAAAAAAACCCAAGTAAATAAAATAGAGTGGCAAAAAGCAAAAGAAAAATTTCCATTTTCCTGCTTGAAGCATTTTTTATTTATTTAGCTTTACAATTGGAACCAAAATGTTATTAAATTAGAAAACAGGCATAAAAGAAAAACATTCTTGGCATTATATAACTAGACACTAAAATTCTGCATAAAATCTGCAAGTTAACAACAAATCATAAATTCAACAAGATGACTCTAAACCATTTAGTTACCAAACCAATGTTAAGGATTTAAATTTGGCTAGTAATGCATTAAGCACTTTTACAGGATAACAATTCAAGAAGTTGAATAAAAATAAATAAAAAAATTGGTATACATTATGAATAAAACTCAATTTGTTTTGGAAACTCAAAATTTAGTTTCATTCAAAATTTATGGCAATCTCAGGTTACTTTTTTGCCCAATTTTTAAATTATAAGTTAGCAATATTTTTTAATCAGGGCAGAAGATTATAGCAGTATTCTAAAAATGAAAATGTATTCTGAAATAGTAATTTTAAAAAATAATTTATAACTCTTACTTCATTAATTACAAGAAGAGGGCCTTTCTTTTCCATTTTCGATTCTGAAATATGAAATTATTATTCATTATAACTAATAACTTATGAAAAAAATATTATATTTACCATCAAATATGGTGTATAATGAAACTTACCAGGTTTAGAATGAGGCAAGAGAGTCCTTAAATTATTCATCAGATGCCGGTCTCGAAATGCAATTCCTCTGGATGCAAAAATTAAAACTCGTTGTTTATTAATCCATTTTCCCTATAACATGGAATAAAAAGTAAACATCACATAATCATAAAAAAAAAAAAAAAGCTTATATTAGCAGCTTTAGTGAGATACAGTGACAATGGTGTTAGCATGTATCATAAAACTAGGCATAAAAACAGCATTCTGAATCTAACAGATGTCAATCTGAAGAAATTATTTACAACTTCATTAACTTAATATGACTTAATATGAAAGAAAATAAATGTTATTAAAAAAATAAGCAGATATTCTTACTTTGGAAATATAATATACTTTGGTGATAATAACCAAGTTAGTTATATGCCGAGAATCTAGATATTGCATTCAATATAAGCCTGCATTGTTTTACTTTGTTTACAGTTTCATACACATTTGTTTAGCATACCCGAGTTAGCTGTTTAAACATGGTAAGCAAACAAGGTGTTCTTTCAATTTAAAAATTATACTTTAAACTCATTAATCATAATTTTTTGGTTTTCTTTCACAAAGAACCCTTTGATGGTATTGCATTTTTATTCATGAACAGCTGATCAACAATGAGCGGCATACAGTTATCAGATATTAAATGTGATATTTAGTGCATATAACCAAAATAATATATTAAGTGCATATAACCAAAATAAATATATATTAAGCATATGGAAGTAAACATTCACAGATATTAAGCATATCGATGTAAAATTAGGCGATTAAATGTGATATATGAAAATAAATTTGTATTAAATTTAAGTTAAAACTAAATTAGCACTATAAATTAATACAATTAAATTAATTAGATTAGCACAGAAAACTATATATTAAGCATACAAAAGTAAAATAATAATGAGCTTGTAATAATAATCTTTCTAGATACTGAGCCCTTTTCTTGCCAAAGTTACCTATTTAATGGGGAAAAAAATAGTAAAATTCAGATCTAACTTAGAATATCTTTCAATATAATAAAATTGCAAAATATTTGTAGTGCAGTTTCTAATGAAAAAGATAAAATCATTAAGCCACTTTTATAATTAAATATATTTTCATTGCATAACTTCAAAATACTTCTAAATGTAAGACTGAAAATCCATTATCATCACATAAATGAAATCAACAAATATTCTAATTTAAATAGAAACTTAATTGCAATTATCTGATTACATAAAAGTTTGTTTAGTCATAAATTGTATTCTGCTCCAATTTTTTTTTAATATATGTTCATGTATTGCATAATAATAATAATAATAAAAACAGTATCTCAGAACTGAACTTTCTTGCATGTAACTCATAACAAGAAGGAAAGAACATTATTATTCGATACTTTGCAACCGATATGCAGCTCATCAGCAGCTGAAGAGTAAAGCAACTGATGTTTGGTAGATTGATTAGCCAGGCAAATGGGCTAGTTGCATAAGTGTTTTCATAATCTTCCCAATATGTGATGAGAATGCAAACCAGTTCCCCTTAGGCAGATCTCTCCCAAGCTTTGCAGTAATTTAAGAAAACCAAACTGATGTGTGCTGCTAAAATTTTTATTTACCGGATTCTTTGGGGAAGTGCTTCCATGATTTGGTGTTAGCAACTCCTAAAGGTTGATATTAAACCTACATTTTCAGTTTACAGAAATCAACAACTCTTTTTTTTTTTTTTTTTTTTTTTTTTTAGAGACAAAACTGAAGACTAGAAAAATTGCTGAGCATGCAAATAAAACAAAATTTGAAAAACACTCAAATAATTGAAATATAATGAAAATGAAATAATTAGAACACAGATTAACAAATGTAATTTTATAATAAAACATACAATAAAAATCAAACTAAAAAAGTTTCCGGTTTTTAAATTTTAAAGCAAATTTCAAAATGCCGGAATAAGCCCTACTCTTTTAGGTTTGTCATTAGAAGTTTCGACTGCAGTCTCATGATTTTCAGTATTTTTTTCCGATTTAGACTCTGGAATTTCGCGCTTACGTTTGCCCATTTTAAACACGTTGTGTCGTTTACAGCGAAAATGGCAGTTAAGAGTTCTAATGAATAACCGCTGCCAATAAATGGCAACTAATATTGTGGACTGGTAATATTTTTAGGCCAAAGTGACAATTTGCCCACAAGGGCATTTTGCGTTGACTTACTATAAACGGAGAATCACTTTTTAAAATGTTGTCACCAAATATTAGAGACCTGTATTATATTTAAAGAAATTAAATAATGAAGAATTTGCATAAATGTATGCATGTTTCTCGCATTGTGATAAAACAACGGTAGCTAAAGCTATCAACTTTTGAATAACGTAATCCTACTGCGAATATGGGCATGTGGAAGACCAAATTTGGAATTTGCTTTATTATCTATTTCATATTTTGTTAAGCATTTATGAGTGTTTGATTAAGAAACTCAACGATTTCGAAATGAGCAATGGTAACATTGTACGAAAGAAAAACATTTTTATCTCCAGCACGCGAGACTGTATATCGAAAATTCTAAAGATAGGATTTTTTAAATATTTTGTGATATTGCTCTTGAATTGAATTTTATGGTTTGAGAGCGAAGAACATGACATTAAAAAATTAAGGTAATATACAAAGCGTTAAAAAACGCCCCCTCGAGCGTAGTAAAAAATCTGAAAGGTTTCATAATTTTTTTATTAACATAAAATGGCTCTTAAATCTAGAGTGTCGTTTAAGACATGTTCTAAGTTCTAATTTAATACTGCTCGAGCCTCAAAGCACCCAATATGAAGAACAAAAAGATTTCACTCGGAAACACCTTATAATTTTCACTGACTTTACTGTCTCACTTTCATCCTAAATATAAATTTAAGCTGCATATATGAGACGTCGCTGCCGTTTACGACCACGATATGAAAGCATGCACATGATCAAAGTTAAAGTCTTACAAAATGAGACAGACCTTGGAAGGAAATGCATCGTGGTTCATCATAAACCATTATATGTGCGCAAGCCTTCGCATCCAACGTTTAATTTTCTTCCACTTCCTACACTGGTCATTTGTTAATATTTGTTCATTTACACCTGACTATGAAATATGAACACTCAAAAGAAAACACCGTACCATCCAAATAAATTTATGCATTCTTTTAAGCGGTATTAGAGTGGCTTGGATTTGAAGAGGCCTTACTGGAGCGTCTCATGTTCTTCTCATGAGTTCGTATTTCTAGGGAAATGGAGTATTGCAAAGTCTGCTTATTGTTAAACTAAAACGCTAGGAATTCTATTTTTTCTTCCATTTAAATTGTGGTTTAGTTTTATAAAAAGAAGTACCGGAGCTCATCTTATTTAGGGCTGCGGTGCGCTCCGGCTAAAATTGTAATTTATCTTAAAAATTTAGAAGCACCGGAGCCGGGCTCCGGTGGGCTTTAGCGCAATTTAAGCACTGCTCCGATAGCTTATTACGAAAAATCCCTTAACTGGGGAAAAGTATCACGGCTATATCTCTAGACGTAGTACGTCATTGGATGACAACCATATTCTGATCTACAATAACGAGCTATTTTTCCCTTGTTTGGCGTCAAGGCTGTTCTCCGAAGAATATTCGGTCAGACTGGTCCTGCCATTTACTTCCGGAGTTCCTCCTCTCTCTGGAATGGTCCTCTCTCTGGAAAATGCGTATTTAAACAGAAAACAGAACGATAGTTTCAAAGCGCTTTGTTTCGACAGCAGCGCCTCTTAGGAGATGGAGAAACATTGTAATTATTTACTTCGCTTCTAACAGAAATTAAATTTGGACTATCCCCGACTAATGAAATGCTTCTTGAGGGATGGAGAAGCATTGTAACTATATTCTAAGGACGCACCCAATAAAATCTAATCTTGGAGCATACTGGACCGATGAAATGATTCAAATTAATGTACATTCAGCATATTAAACAGACCATTAAAATGGACTATGTCTTTAAGAAATGAAGCAAGCAATTTAGATTTTTTGCAGTCAGTCGGCCAACACAGGCTCGCCTTTTGATTTTACACCGGGCTTTCGGCTTTTTAGAGCTATTATTTTTATGTTTTTTAGTTTCAAGCTCTGCTTTTCGCTTTTTTTTTAATATGTCGGCATTTAGTAGTCAAATTATATTTAGCGAGATGCAACCGTTTAGTTAGCGGCCCTAGGACTGTCGAATATAACTACATCAGCATTTTAGTTAGGATAAAAGAAATCACGAGCGCCCCAAGAAAAAACTCTCGGGAGCGGAATTTAAAGAAAAAAACAAAGCTATGGCCGAAAGTGAAAACTAAGAACAGCTAAGATGAAAAAATTGCTTCATGGAAGAGGCTTCGTCAGACTTTGCCGCAACTTTCGATGATGCTGAGATTCTAGAGGATATCAACATTTCTTACAATTTGCATAGCCAAGATGAAGTACCTTTACCTATTATTGAAAAACAGTTTACAAGTCAGAATTTGAGAAAATAGCGTTCTTCATCGCCCTCAAACGAACAACTGGAGATTATAAAGCCATGATATAAAGAACCTCCTCATTTACCTAAGGGTGGGCAGCAGAAAGACGAACAATTAAAAAGTGTTGATTTATCTGGCCCAGGGAGTTGGCCAGAAAACATTAACGCTCTTTCTTAAGGGAACTTAAACTAAACTCAGTGGCGCAACCGCTATCAGCACGTTGAGGGTCAAGCGCTTAGTTGGTTCAAGAGTATTGGGAAAAGTCTCTTGAGCCAGCCGAGAAGTTCCACTTATACTTACGAAAATATCAAGACCGCCTTAGTAAAAGCCTTTCCAGTGGTAAGAAATCGTTCGAAATTAGAAACGGAACTCTTCAGCACATACCAGCAAAGAATTGACGACCTCTCAAGTTTTATTTTACGAAAAATACAAGCTTTTGCATGGAAGCCGGCCGGATCCTGAAATAATCCAGGCAATTTTGCCTAGGTAACTTCCCCAGGTACAAGACTTCATCGAATTAAGGAATCCAACAACTTTAGAAAAGTTATTTGATCTCGCAATACAGTTTGAAAGCAGAAGAACTGCGAACATTGAAAGAAGACGCCAGTACGAGCAACGAAGCCATGGTGCGCCAAGGCCACAGCAGAGGCAAGATCACAGCTACGGAAGCAAGTGGAATCAATGTACAAAGAAACCTGATTATTCAAAAACAACCGACGAACGTCGACAGTTCAATAATAAGCCAGACAAAAAGTTTGAAGGCCAGCGGAAAAAGAAGGAAAATCCAGAACAGAAGAAAGAAGATTTAAACTGAAACTGATTTCTCCTGACGGGAGGCTGCGGAAGTCCGAAGGCCAGGAAAATCCCTCTGACATCAAGCTCAATACAGTGATTGTGAAAAATTTAGTTCTTCCGAAGATTGAAGTATTAACGAACAATATTTCAGTCACCGATCTCCTGGACACAGGACCTCAGTGTAGCTGTGTGGCCGACGATATTTTTTAAGAAATATTTTCGTAAATACAGAATCTATAATTCCGATAATACGACTGTGATAGCAGCCCACGGGGAAAGATGTAAATGTATAGGTAAAGTACCACTGTACATCCGCATTAAGGACTAGCACGTAAAAATTATGTTTTTTATTGTAAGGAATCTTCAAACATGCTAAACGTAATGCTAAATTGATCCCAAACAGGAGTTTAACTTCTGAAAAGTTTCTGTTAAAAGTGAATTTTTTTTTTCCATCTATGGGTATCCTAAAGTCTGTTTCTGATATTCTTGTTTTTAGTTGTATACCTGAACGAGATTTTCAGAATATTTAATCGTTTCAATTTGCATACATTTCGTATCAAGGAACACGAATCTTATGTCAGAAAAGGCGAAATTAAAAAGCCTTCAATAGCGTATCATAGTTGGACATTTAACCATAATTTTGACTTTGGGTCTGCAAAAATTATCCAAAAGGCTTATTCCATAGGTGAATTGGATTTTCTTGAGGCTTTTCACATTCACAAAGATTTAGCAGGTTTAGTTAATGATTTGAAGTCCAATCCAGTCCTTCCTAATGCCTTTAAAATTCTACTATCTTAATTCAAGATGGCGTTACCTCCTCGCGTTTGGTACTACCAAAGGGTATAAAAATCCGTTCAGTGGTTGCTTTCCATTATTTGAAGTTCAGATTTTGAGCGTGAAGATGCATTTGCCCCTCGCTCCCTATTTTAACTTCGCTAATTTTTCTTGTCCTTAATGCTTGATCAGATAGCCTGGCTCAGTAAAAGTAGGCGGCCAGTGCAACTCTGATTAAAAATCCAGTTATAACCACGTGCAGTGCTGATAAGGACCACGCGTTTCTGAGACTCCTTCTCCTTTATTTCCTTTTTTCTAGGTATTTCTTTCTCCTGATGAGGAGGGACCTTTAGCTGCCCTCGAAATCGATTGAGTGTTTCATTAGGCTTACGCTAAATACAAGGTTGTTTTTACGATTTTGACCGATTATGTTATTAAGCTTATGGATGGCTTCGCCTGCTGCGTTTCTTTTAATTCAAGGAAATAAACAGGTAGTTTGATAATTTGATCTTGTTTTTTGGTAAACTGTTTCCTCTGAGAATCGGAAATTTTCTATTTTTGAGGTCTTGAAAGATTGCTTGCTCAGTAATTGAACTGGGGAGATTTTTAAAGATAATCCTGATAGTAGCTTCTGGATCGACAGGGAAGGTATACAAATTAAGTTCTATTTTCTTGAAAATTTCGATAATCGTTTTGTAATCTTCTAGTTTATAGGTTTGGAGGAAAATTTTGCGGGCTCTCATAGTAGATTCATACTCGTTTCTACATGTTTCCTGCAAAATTCTATCAATTGTAAGCCAATCTGCAATTTGAAATGTAAGAATAATTGGGGGAATCTTTTTAATTTTACACTTTTAACTTAATTTACGTCCATTTGTTCGGTCTCTGAGTGGTTAGTTTGGTTTAAGATGACTTTGAATTTATTACTTTGCGGAATTTCTGTAGGCGTAGAAGTTTTCGGCGATCTGCACGTTTTTAGTAGGAGTGATCCGTTGGTTATTTGATTCCTTTTCAGAGACGAATTTGCCTGAGGGGT